AGCTCGGGGAACAGCACGGAACCTTGCTGTCCAATGTGGTGCCGGCACCAGGGTCCCCAGGAGGATGAGCTGAACCCCAACACTGCTCTCTTGGGGGCACTCCCGTCCCTCCTGAGCTTGCCGCATGACCCACTTCTGTTCCACCGCGGTTACAGGGACACTCAGTGCCGGGCTGCTCCTGGTCCGCACTCCTGCCCTCAGCACCTGCAGAGGCTTGGGGAGGGGGTGCTGGTACCCATGAGGTTTTGTGAGGGAGCCCTTGGCCTTAGGGGGTCACAGGCCACATCGGGGGCTCCTGGCGGGGGGGTGTCTCCTGGTTGAGCCTAGGGACCAGACTGGGGCCCTCTGTCCCTCCAGCTGTCTTTACGTCCCCAAGACTTTGGCAGGGTGCCTTGGTCACTCTGGGAGCAGCAGGCTTGGTGGGGGCCAGGCCAGGGGACCACGCCATCCTCACTGTGGAGGCCCCTGAGCCTAAAAGCCTTCAGGTCTACTCTGCCTGTGATGAGCGTGGGCGCTCCTGGGGCAGGCCGAGGAGGGGACAGTTCCCCAAGGAAGGGTCCCAAGTGTCTGACCCTCGAGAGACCAGGGACCAGTTCCTGGGTTCCAGAAACTTGAGTGTGCCCCTGTGTGACTGCATACGTGTGCACCTGCGAGAGTGCGTGCGTGCACCTCCGTGGCTGCACACGTGCACGTGTGAGTGTATGTATGCATGTGTGTGCCTGTGTGCATATGTAGGCATGTGAGTGTGCACGTGTGTGCCTGCATGTGTGCGTGTCTGGGTGCACGTGTGCACGTGGACTGTGTCCGTACAGGTGAGTGCACACGTGCGTTCCAACGCGTGTGCGTGGGGAGGCTGCAGCTCAGATCTGTGCATCTGGGCTGGGCCCCCACTGTGCCGACACTCCCTGCAGTCAGGCCCTGCTCCCCAAGCAAAGGGGGGGGGCTCCCCGTCCTGGGGGAGGCCCCGAAGGCCTGGCTGTCCTGGGGCCATCCCAGATTGTGGAGCTGGTGCTGGACCCCAGGTTCAGTGGGCTCTGCCCTCCAGCTGGTCTTCGAAGACACTGTATGGGGCCCCTGAAGGTGCCAAAAGGGTGGGGTGGCACCAGTCGCCTGGCCATAGAGCACCCACGAGTATGTCCTCTGCACCGCACCCGAGGGTCAGGGGCTTGCCACGTGGGAGGCCGCAGCCCAGGGCAGAGCTGCTCTGGCGGATGTTAGATCCCAGGAAGTGGCTTCCATGTTCCCAGAGTGTGTGCGCACGTGGGCCTCTGAACATGACCTGGGGAGGCTCTGGACAGACGCCGGAGACTTCTCTGTCCCACCGTATGGACGCCGTGTGGAGTCTGCTCTGGGGCCAGTGGCCCAAAGACACGGCCAAGTCCTTGATGAGTTCGCCTGTGAACCCAGACACACACAATGTGGAAGGGAGGGCGCCCACGGTGGGTCCCTGCTGTGTGGAGATTGGGGGGGCAGCTGGGGCAGGCAGCTGGCTGGGCCAGGAGGGGGCTGCGGGCTGAGGGTGCTCCCTGATTAGACCAGGCCCACCCAGGCGAATCTCCCTTCTGATCACTGAGGCAGCTGGTTAGGGACTTTGAGTGACATCTGTGAACATCAGTGAAGCTCCTTTACTTCGGCCATATGTGTAGAGTATCCATCACGTTCACAGCACCCCCCACTTGGGGGTGGAGGTCATATGGGGTCTGGGACCTTGGGGCCACCTGAGAAGCCCACAGACAGCAAGCCCCGCCCTCACGTGCAGGAAAGCATGTGCTGAGCTGGGGGTGTGAGGCCAGAGTCAGGCCTCGGGAGCGTGGCTGGGGAAGGGGTGCTGGAGGCCCCAGGAATGTGGTGAACTAGGTAGCAGGCATCGCCCCCTGGTTGCCTGAGACTGGGGCAGGGTCCTGGGAGAGGCTGGGGGGGGGGGTATGCTGCAGAGTGGGGCACAGGGGAGGTGTCTACACAGTCCAGAGCACAGAGCTGGCACTCCACCTGCCTCGTGAGGCAGCCCCGCCCCCCAGCCCCCCAGCCCCTGTTCAGCCCCGCAGGCTGAGGCTGGCCTGCTCTCTGCCCAGAGGGCTGTCCCCACAGCGCAGGGCAGCCCTGGAGGGCAGCTCCCCTGAAGCCACTGTCCCTTGTGTGGAGGAGGCTGTGTCCCCAGGGCAAGCTGGCTGCCGGAGGCTCTGGGACACAGGTGGCCACAGTGTGTCGTCCTGTCCCTTCATCCCTGCATGTCCTGCCGCTCTGTGCAGACTGTCTCAGGCCCTGGGGACACGGGTGTTTCTGCGAGCTTTGCAGGGAACGAAGTCCACGAGTAAATCTTACCGGGGTTCCCAGACCCCGAGAAGCATCTGCTGAAGCAGGAGGCCTCGTGTCCGGTGGCTTGCACACTTTTTGACAATTCTGCTGTGTGCAGGGCTCGGGGGAGTGCTGGGGGCGTTGCTGGGAAATCGCCCAGAAGCTCGCAGTGCACACAGGTGTGCTCACGCTCACAGCGCGACCTCAGGGAAACATCTCCCCAGGGCCTGCATGTGGGGTGGGGCACGCAGCAGCAGGCATCGGGGCGCTGTCCCAGCCCCCCAACAAGGACCCCTGCCCGGCACGCTTGGTCCGTGGGCACAGTGAGGATGCTCACCACGGGGACCCCCAGCTGCTGGGCACAGGGGCAGGTGTCCTGGTTTTCCTGCCTGATGTCTTGAAGGCAGGGGTGAGGTGGACGCATTCCCAGGTTTCTCCCACCCCGCCCCACCCCCACATCCCCCGCCAGCCCCTGCGGAGGGGAGGGCGCAGGTGGGACTCTCCGGGCGAGGGCCGTGGCCACCAGCCTCCGCAGCATGGCACCGTGATGGGCAGCTTGGCTCTTTATACACGAGCAGCATTTCCTCCTCACGTGAGACCAGACAGCCCTGCGGGACTCCAACGGCTCAATTCCCGGGGGACGTCTAAGATCCGGCTATGGGATGTGGGGGCACAGCACCCAGCAAGCGTGGGGTCCCATGTGCCCATGCTGGTCACAGCCTGGTGGAATGCACACTAGGAATGCAGGGGTGTGGGCGTCGCGGGCCAGCAAACCAGCTTCATCACGGGACGTGGATGCCCAGCTCCGCCCGCACTCCGCGAGCCCACTGTGGGCGTCCACTCCCAGCGGGGCCAGCGCTCCCTTAGCTGGACAGAACTCCCCAAATGTGTGCTGGCAGCCCACTAGGTGAGCCCGGGTGGTCCCCAGGCCCCGGCGGGTCCCCCCAGAACTCCGGGCCCCCAGGGCAGCCCTGGAGCCCATGTGTCTGTTTGTGGAGACCTGGCCGCAAAGATCCCCGGTTTCTTCTTGAATCTCCCCAACTGATCTGACTCCAGAACCAACACGGGGGACCCGTGAGCATTTCTCAGTCCCTTGCTCGGGGGATGGAGGCCTCCCGGGAGCACAACCACCGGAGCACCATCGGTGTCCTCCCTCCACACGGGGCAGCCCCGGGCTCGGGAACAAGGTGAGCAAGTGCCCCGCCATCTGGGGGACCCCTTCCCCCACCTGGTCCTCCCGCACAGCACCCCCAGCCAAGATCAAAGGGCACCTTGCAGGGCGTCTTCCCCCGAATTCAGACCTCCCCGGCCGCCCTGGGGGAGCAGAGGACCAGCCCCGCGGCCAATCCTAGGTCCCCACCTGGGGTGCACCAAATGGCTCAGGCGGGAGGTTGGTGTGAGCCCGGCCAGGTGGGTGGGGAAGGGAGGCTGTCCTCAATTTAACACAAACACCCCCGACTTGCTCTGAGACAACGCTTTATTGAGAGTCCGACCACCGTTCACACATACAGTGGAGGGCACACTTGTGTCCCTGCAGCCACCTCCCCAGACCCCCCTGCAGTGACGCCTTACTTCTGCTGCTCAGCTCCTGGAGAACCACAGACGCCCCGGAGAGAAACCCCTGCCCGGCACCCAGTGCCCAGAGGCAGCCCTGGGCCCCGGGCAGTTTGAAACCCACTGGCCTGAGAGCAGCCTTCCCTTTAAGGGAGCGGCGTCTCCCGGGCACAGTTGCCCCATCGGGATTCTTGCACATGGCGCACAGGTCACTCCTCTGCTCGCACGGCGACGGACACATTACAGAGATCTGGGTCCCCCCAACCGGAGTGGGGGTGGAGGGCACCCCTGCTCCCGCCCCGGCCCCGGCGGCACCCGTAAGGCTGGCTACCAGCTCGGAAAGCATGCCTCTGTCCAGCCCGGGGAGGCATCCTCAGCTGCTGGGGGTAGGGGGGGCTAGGAAGGGACCCGCCCCTGGCCTGCAGCATGACTGCTTAGCGGCTCTCCCCACAGCGTCCTCCCCACCAGCTGCCTCTCCCACGACTGTACCCGGATCCTGCCCATCCCGCACAAACCTCCGCGCCCTGCGGGCTCCTAAGAAGGCAGAGAAAAAGGGAAGGTGAGTTCTCCAGCCCTCCCCAGCCCTGCTGGTCACACACAATGCCTCGGTGGCCGCAGTGGACAGAGCCTATCCCACAACTGGGTCAGAGAACCAACAGGGGAAACGCGTGTGAGCGATGGCCCTCACCTTTGAAACACTGTCAAGGTCACGTCTGTCCCCTAGGAAACGCCTGCTTCCAGATTGGACTTTGGTAAGATATTTATTAGGGACAGTGGGGGCCCTGCCCACCTCAGGAAGAGACAAGTCCAGGGGGTCCCCCGTGCAGGCCGGTGTGCCCTGGGCCCCGCGCAGGGAGGGCACCCAGCACAGTGCCCAATGCCCTGCCTGCTCTCGCTGGGGTGCCATCCACACCGAGGGCTTGGCTCCCCCAGGCGGGCCAGAGCTTCCTGAGACATGGCCCGCATGCTGGGACTCAGCCGGGGTCCCGTGGAGGCCGTGGCTGTGGCAGGGACTCCACATCTCCCAGGCGCTTGGGCACGGGGTCATGGGAGGAAGGCTTGGCAGCTCGGGCTCCCGAATGACCGTCACTCCATGTCCTCCTGCAGCTCCAGCTTGTGCAGGGCCTGGAGCCGGCCGACCACGGTCTGCCGCACGGCCTCCAGCCCCTCGGTGTCCAGCTCCCGCAGCAGCAGCAGGACGGCGCTCAGCACGTTGTTCTGGGGGCACAGAGTCACCGGCTGAGGGCCCCACCCTGACTTGGACACTGCGGGCAAGTCACCTTCCAGGCAACCCGGACAGACACGGACAGAGACTCAGGTAGACGGAGCCTGCAGGGACTGCCCAGAGAGATTAAGCCACTGGCCCTCGGCCACACAGTAGGGATCAGTGCTCGGGAGCGTGTGATCTCTCACACACACACACACATGCGCGCACGCTCGTGTGTGTCACGTGTGTGCATGTGGTTTCTATCTGCGCCTGAGCGAGAGGGTATTTTGCACACGGGCTTCTCGAGCTGGCTCGTCCTGCGAGGAGAGCTGGCTGTGAGCCGGAGTGCACGGCAGCAACGTGACGTCGGCTCAGAGGGTCACAGTGGGGCTCAGCACCAGAGCCCCCACCCGCCCCACGGTGCTAACCCCTGGCCTTAGCAACCCTCGAGGGTCCTGTTCCCCCCGCACCCCTACACTGGTGTGGCCTCCCTGGCCACCTGCATCCTCCCACTTGGGCCTGCAGGACCTCCCGTGGGAGGACCGAGCCATGCTCCCTGCTCGGAGCAGAGCCACAGCCTTCCCTTCTGTCCCCAGAAGCGGCTCTGTCTGCTCCAGGGGTTCCATGACTTTCCAGATCAGTGATTCAATCTCGAGGCTACCCCCCTCCAACCCCCGGATGCTCTGCAGACGCCTGCACGTGGGGAGGCGGGTCCTTTGGGCCTTGCCTCATCGGCAGAGGCCGACCAGCCCCGGGGGCTGTCGGGGGGCTCCTCCCTGAAGGTGCTGGGGAGCACGTGCACGGACCTTGCGGAGGACAGTGACCTGTGCAGGGCTGGGCCTCAGGCCCAGGGACAGCCGCCTACACTGGCCTGCAGCCCACAGTCACTTTTGTCAGTGGCTCTGTGGGACACTTTTCCTGGAGGACGGGCTGGCCCCTCCCAAGGACAGGGCCTCTGTCCATCCCCCTCTGCACTGCCCACAAGCTTTTTAAGTTCCTTGAGGGGGTGCTGGCAGCCCCCAGCCCCGCCCGTGGAGCCCTTCCCATGTGCACGCTGGTCCCACAGCTCCGGTCAGACCCTGCCACTGGGAGCAGGGAACAGCGGGTCACGGGCCTCCCTCAGGCCCCGGCTCTGCTCGGGCAGCCCTCCTCCCACGTGATAGGCAACGGCCCCACTGGGCCAAGCTAGCGCTGGCGACCCCTTCTGCCAGCCACACTCGGGATGTGAGCCACTCTGGCTGATGATGCCCGTCCTGCCGGTGTGGGTCCACAGGGAGGATTTCCGGCCCATCAGGACACATGTGGGAAGACACGGCCCCTCTCCTCTTGGGTGTGCGCCTGGAACAGACGGCCAACCCGGTGACCAGGAAGGGAACAAGCCCCAGGACCGGCCAGAATAACAAGGAGGCAAATGCTTGGAAAGGTCCGGCATGTTGGACGGAGCTGCCCACATATCCTACTCCTTGAACCTGTTACTCCTTACGGACCATCAGGAGCCACGATGCCACAGAAGCTGCCCTGCCGGGACACGGAGGCCCCCCTGCGAGCAGCACCCCTGCAGCGTCAGCGGCTGATCGAGCCGCCTTCCCACCCCCAAGCCAGACGCGGGCGGACCCGGTCCCGTGTGCGGCACGGAGCGGCCCGCACGCTGCTTCGGGGATCCCCTCTCGCTCCGGGGCTGCTCCTTCTTTACTGGCCTGGACACCCGACACCCTCTCTGGTCCGGCTCAGAGCCAGCTTCTCAAACCTGGGTCCCTGGGTGTCTACAGCCCATCCGGCCCCAACCTCCACATGCCGGGCGGCGGGAGTGGCCGCTGCCTCCAGCCCGGGCTGTCCCCGGGTCACACTCACCCTGTTCTTGTGACCGCTCACGGCGTCCCTCTGCGAGAAGGAAGGAAACCGCTCCCGGGAAGGCGGCTTCAGGCCCAGCTGGCTCTGGACGCTGCAGGTAGGAGGCGGAGCATCGGGTGCGTGAGGCCTGACCTGCTCGCGGCCCCATTTCCGGCCCCGGAGCCGCCCATCACAGCGAGGAAAGCGACCCGCGGCTTGGTGACGCTGCTTCTGGAGGGACGGAGCACTGCACGGGCAGGGGCACGAAGGACTGGCAGGCAAGCACGTATCTCTCTGGCCCCCCGGGGGGCCCCTCGCTGCACCTGGGCTCCCTCAGCGTGGGGGACACCGAACACAAACGGGAACGCAGAGCCGTGGGCGGCACCCGACGGCTTCCCGCGCTGGCGGCCAACAGAACGGCCGGCATGGCTGCTGAGTGGCCACAGCCCGACCCCTCACTGGGCTCGGCTGCTCCCGCCACGTTTCCTGTGCTTCATGGCTGCTCAGAAACGCCCGTGACAGTCTGCAGCCTGTCCCCAAAGACTGCTTCAGCCACATCGGTAGTGCTGTGGTCAGAAGTGCCCTCCTTGGGGCCGTATTCCCCGTATTCTCCAGCAGCTCGGCTGGCCACAGTCACAGCCTCGTGTCCTGCCCTTGGGAGGCTGCAGGGCCGGGCCCAGGGGTGCCCTCAGGCCCATGTCACCTGCCCCAGCTCCAGGCCACTCCAGCTGCAGGCGTTGTTCCACACACACGCCTGGGCCCAGAGCCTCCCGGACGCGGAGCTGGAAGCAGGCTGGGGGTCACTGAGAGCCACAGATGGCAGGAACCGCGCCGGGCAGCTCCTTCCCTCCTTCCCAGAAGGGCCCATTGAGTCCCCAGGAGGACCCTAGGGGCAGGCCCGCGGCCCCCGCCAGGCTCACCTCGTCTCCTCCTCGCCACAGCTCAATGTGTTCTGCCGGGTCTCAGCGCTGGTGTCCACGGCACTCAGGGAGCAGGAGAGCTCAGACCCACCGTTCCCTGCGCCCTCAATGCCAGGGGCCGAGACCTCCTCTCCCTCCAGCAGCGCACGGGACAGCTCCTCCTCGGTCACGGCTTCAGAGTGGGGGCGGGGAGCAACGGCATCAGAGCCGACTGGCCCCCACAGGAGCCAACACCCCCCAGGAGAGCACCGGGAGGGGCAGCTGCCCATCTGGAGGGGTCAGGGCTGTGCGGGGTGTCGCTGGGGCGGACACGTACGCTGGTTGTCCAGCTTCTGCAGGTGCGGCAGGTTACGCAGGACGGTCATACGGTAGAGGTGCGGGTCGGGGCCGCAGCACGGGTTCTCCGCCAGCCAGAGCACGCGCAGGCGCGGCAGGCCCTTCAGGTAGAAGAGCTCGGCCAGGCTGGGGATGCGGTTCTTCCGCAGGTAGAGCTCGCTCAGCTGCCGGCACTGGCTCACGGGCTCCAGGGTGGAGACGCTGTTGACGCTGCACGGGGACGGCACGGGGACAGTAGGGGGATCAGGATGGCAAACACCCCGCTTGTGGAGGGCTGTCCCCTCCACCCCTCTCGGGCCCACTGCAAACTCCAGAAAAGGCCCCCGTGGGTCAGGCCCATCTGCTCTCGCCGTGGAAGGAGGTCAACACTGGACCCTGTGAGTCAAGTTCAACAAAGACCTCGGGCGCAAGGACGGAAAGTCTCTCAGGCTGGAAACAGGAAGAGCAGGGAGCCATGCCCTGGCCTCTAGCTTGGTGCAGGCCTCTGGCCGGGGTGGGGGGGGGGGCGGAGGTCTCACTTTCCCTCACAGGATAGGGAACAGGCCACCAAAGAACGTCTCTGTGCCCCTAAGTGGGCAGCGGCCAGAAAACCCCACAGCAACACAGCAAGCACAAGTGAGCTCAGCCTTCCGCAGAACTGAACACCCGACCTCCCAAATCCCGTGGTGCAGGAAGAAACAAAGTAGGTGGGTTTACGTTTTGTCCCTCAGACTTGTGAACACACCACAGACAGAAAATCGTCAGGCCTCTAGGCAGAGAGCCTACAGGCTCACGGGGACACAAGCAGAAAGCTTCCCATCTCTGCAAAGCCGGACGGACCACAAAGCTGTGCTCAGTGGGCGGGCAGGCGGCCAGGACCGGTGCCCAGTGAGAGCACTGTGCAGGCCAGGACAGTACCCCCCCACTCCCGTGCAGTCCTGGGGACGCTGCGGCTCCCTACACAGCTTGGGGGGCACGAGTGGGGCCACTCAGAGCGACCCTGCCTGAAGGGCCAGATGATCTAGAACATTCTCTGTCAGAGGCCGCACTGGTGGGGACAGCACCGCAGCGGGGGCCCCGGTTGCCGATGGAGCTGCTGGTGTGGAGGCCTGTGCTCAGCACAGGGGCCGCACGCGACAGCCCATGGCACCTGACACCACTGTGCCCAGAGCAGGGCGAGGCTCCGCCATCTCCAGATCTGAGAAGCCGTCGGAGGCCTGGGCTGGGGTGGGCCGTGAAGATCCGAGCCACACCCGCCTGCCGTCCTCCTGCAGGAGCACCGGGCTAGCTGTGGCTGCACGGTGTTGTGTCCCCTCCAAACTCCTATGCTGAAACCTAAGCCCTAGGGTGACAGGGTTCAGAGGGGACGGGGTCAGGGCGCCCTCCGGAAAGAGCTCCCCTGAGCTCCCTCACCCCTCCCCCACACAGGGACCCAGGGAGAAGGGGCCTCCCCAGACACTGAAAATGCCAGCACCTTCCCCTTGGACTCACAGCTCCAGAGGCCCGAGACACACTGTCTACTGTCCCGCAAAACGGGATTCTTACAGCAGCCAGGACAGACGGCCCGCCTGCACGAGGCTCTGAGACCAAAGGGAAGTGACCGCACCCCAGGAAAGGACTTGGTGCCCTGTGTTCACACTGCGATTCACACTCGGGTTCCAACGCAGCTGGCCATGCAGGCACTGGGTACCTGAGCTCAGTCCACTACCCTGGGCCTCCTGTCCTTTCTCTGGGCCACGAATGCAACAGATCCTACAGCTCAGGGAGGCCCAGCGACTTGCCCCAAAGCCCCCCACGCAGGGCAGAGGCGGGCGGAAGCTGCGCCCACTTTCAGGAATGAAAGGCGACCCACTGACTCATCAGGGACACTCCCGAGGTGCAATCCCGGCCTCCCTGGTAACAAGAACTCCACGACACAGACGGCGGGCCGGCATGCTCGCCAAGCTCTGTCTCCCCACCTGCACCCGCTCGTCGCTGCCCCCACACAGGCAGGTGCCGGTAACATGTCCGTATTACAGAGCAGGAAACGGAGGCCCAGAGATCTGAGCCTTGCCCAAGGGGGAGAGCCAGCAACCGGCAGGCAGCGGCGACTCCCAGGCTCCCTCCCCCGACCCTCCAAACTGCCCGGCTGCCAGAAATGCCGATGGCTGCGTTTGGCTCATGCACGGTTTCCCTAGTCTGTTAAGACGCCCGTGCCCGGGAGAGATGGCTACAGTCGTGACAGCGTGACAGAGCCCTCGCCATGCCAGAAACGGGGCAGAACCGGTGGAGCTCTGGGGGCAGACACTGCGGCCTCCACAGCGGCTGCTCATCGGGTGGGTGTGTTCCCACGGTCGTGGTGGGGGCGGGCGGGGACACAGCTGGAGGGGGACGGCCAGGCAGAGCATCGGAGGGGCCCTGTGCACCCGGGCTGCCCCGCCCATAGAGGTGGCCCTCCCAGACTCCCGTTGGGACTTCTCAGGTTATCTCAGGCTTCTGAAGGTTCTCGTCTTCCTTCAAGCCCCGGGACTCAGAGCACAGCAGCGTTTAGGTACCTGAGTGTGATCACTTCCAGGCTGGGCATCTCCCGGCAGATGGAGACCTAGGAAGTAAAGGAAGCTGGTGGCGCACATACCGCCGGCCAGCCCAGCGCGGACATGACCACACGCAGCCCCACCGCCACCGCCGAGGCAGGGCTGGCACAGAACACAGAGAGCCCATGGGCTCTGCATCACACTCAGTACTCCGCACTGTCCTCGGGACCCCTCAGCCCGCAGGAGTAACACGCACGGTCTCTCTCTCGCCGCCAACAAACGCGGCCAGGATCCCTAGCCCTTGAAGGCCTCAGAAGACATCAGCTAAGGGGACCTCTGCGGTCCCTACGCTGGACAGAGAACCTTTGTCTCACGGTCCCTGAGGCACAAGGAGAGGGCTTGGCCATCAGACCCGGGCCAAAAGGGAGACAGGATTGCAGCTGGATCTCGTACCATCTAATACTGTCAGTTCAGGGGCAAAGAGCAACAAGGTGCCTGGCTGGGTCCACAACGGGTCCCTAACCTCTGAGGCCAAAGGGCGGGGTAGTCCCCAGATGTCTCTGCACCTGCCACGCACCAGGCACCGAGCCAGACAGGGCCCTTGACCCCAATAGGCTCGCAGTCTGCTCAGAACACTGCACGTGTGCAGTGGAGTGGTTTTCTGCTCTGGTGGTATTTTTGGTTTTTTTAGGGTAGTTTTTGGCTGCTTGAACATGCTGTGTTTCAGTTACAGCGTGAGCTGGAATCAGCTCTTCTGGACAGCCCCGCGTCAGCGGCATTTTCAACTCTGTTCTCAAGGAAAGGCACGGTTCAAGCGACAAAGGTAAGGAAGAAAGAAAAGACAGGCACGTGGTCCCTGTGTGAGTTGGGACTTTCAGTCCAGGAGACAGAGAAAGGGGAAGAAATCTGTTCACAGACCCACAGCTCCGCTCAGGGTGCTGCTCCCTGACCCCCACCCTGCGCCCCACTCCCCTGCCATGGCTTTGGGGGCCAGAGCACAACACTGGATCCCAGCGAGAGCAGGAGCTGAAGGGATCGACTGCTCCCTCCTCCTTGAGACCTGGGACATGCAGGAACTTCCAAGTAAAGCCGGGCACTGGGCAAAGCTTTTTCCCTAGTCGTTCCACACTACGCAAACCGCTACGTGGACAGAGTAGCAGGTTAGGGGCTGAACAGAGCGCATGCAGTTCTGTCAATTCTGCAGTCCTCCTGGGGGCAGCAAACAACTCTCGGGACCAGAGAGCACCGGGAGAGGGTCGCCATAATACTTACGTCTGTGAGGCGGCTGCCCCTAGAGAAAGAAAAGACATGTGTACTTTAATTTGATTAAAGTTGAGTAAAATAGTATTAGAAACACAAATTCCAAAAATGAATGACAAATATCCACAGGCTAAAATTCCACAATGTCGGTGACAAAATCAGGGATGGCCTGTCCAGACGAGCGGCAAAGGGGTCAAACCTTGGGAGAGGGCTGTTTGCGACACAAGTCTCTCTGCCCCTGCTTGAGGGCTGCCTCTCCGGCCAAGGAGCAGGAGAGCCGCTGCACTTGGGGACAGAGATCCGCTCACTCTGCCGGTGGTGGCAAGGCCCCACAATGTCCCTCACTGATGAAGCAAACAAGCGAGCCCTTGTGAGGCCGAGTGCAAAGGCTGAACGTGCAGCTCAGGAACACAGACACTGGCGCGCCTGAATCAGGGCCCTTGTCTCCGCTGCTCAGACAAGGCCCGGCCACCTCTTGGAAAACAAAGAGGGGCATTATTGGGAACAAGTGACAAGCTCACTGCAGTCAATCTGTCGACACTTCCTCGGAGGAAAGCTGGGCTCTGGGCTAAGCTCCCCACGTCCCCCTCCACTGCCCTGCATACAGGGGCACGTGGAGCCTTGCCTCGAGTCCCCGGTGAACACCTGTAGATCCTTCAGGAGTTCCTGAAGTGCATCTGTCCTTCTCTGGCCCAGCCAGACCTGGCCAGCCCAGCCTGGAGCCCGCACTGACCCCACACCTGGCCAGCCCAGCGTAGGGTCTGCACTGACCCCCAGACTTGGCCAGCCCAGCCTGGAGCCGGCACTGATCCCTGACCTGGCCAGCCCAGCCTGGAGCCCGCACTGACCCCACACCTGGCCAGCCCAGCGTAGGGTCTGCACTGACCCCCAGACTTGGCCAGCCCAGCCTGGAGCCGGCACTGATCCCTGACCTGGCCAGCCCAGCCTGGAGCC